CAAGCAGAACCACCCGCTGCTAATAACATTTGCCAGCCCAGGATAGGGCAAATCCCGCTTCCTCTCAGAGCTCCCCACCATGATCGAGGAGTGTCGCGTGAAGCTCAACACCGAACAGGTGCGGAAGTACCAGAAGACCCTGGCCTTCTTGGTCACCTGTGAGAATGGCACCTCACCAGGTGGCATTCACAGCAGCCGGAGCTCCGGAGAACTTTGCTGCATTCCGTGCTCAGTGCCCCCAAGGTCTGGTGCCAGACAATGTGTTGCAAGCCGTGCTACGGGGCGCAATGGAAACCACTATCGTCGTTCTGCATGGGAGTGGACGGCGTGCAGGGCCTCGAAGGCTTCGGCTTACGTGCTGAGGAGGCAGGTGAGGGGAAACCGTTCTATCAGGTCACGCTAGAAGTGTGCCGGCTTGTCAACCAAATGGCCTCTCCGCTGGTGGTAGGATGCATTTCTGCCACTCAAACTCTGGATCACGGCCTGGCATGGTCGCCCCAGCGGCGCTACCGCCTTACACTCCCTCGTGTGAGCCGGGTGGAGGAAAATGGCGAGGATAAAGTTCCGCTTCATCCCCTCAAATACTTCCTGGTGCGAGACATGGGAGGCCACGGCCGAGCTTTAGAGGCTCTGGTGCAGGCACTCCAGCCGGCGAACATTGGAGATGGAAGCGCTGCGGCTGTGATGGGGGCAGTCATGTTTCAACTGACACAGAAGTACCCCAGCGCCGGCGTCCTTGGCCGGTCGGACTCGAAAACCTTCGACGACGGCTCTATCAAAGCAATTCTTCGCACGGCGCTGTCAGGCAAATTGGTTCGCAGCGGTGACAAACTTGGGAACGTCGATGCTGAGAAGGCAGACTTGATTCGTTTGCGGTACAATGATGCCGGCACTCAGTACCGCATTGAAGTTCCGTACATATGGCTGCAATGCTCAAAGAAGTGGCAGCAAAATCTGAAGATCTGGCCCCATGGGGTCTGATGGACTACGACCAGTTTCTGAGGGATCCACCGCAAGATGGCACAGAATGGGAGGAGTTCAACGTAGCCTTTAGAGAGTTGCGGTCTTGGGCTTTCGAAGAAAAGGAAGAAGTGCCAGTGCGCTCTTTGCACAGCGGTGCAATCATACAGCCAGGTACCTTTGCAGAGAAGATGGTCATCAATTACCATCTGAAGCGCTTCAAGGCAAAGCATCGCATAGCAACGGCTTCACATGTCTGCGGCAACCTAAAGGTTGTCAAAGACTGAGCAGCGACAAGGCCCGCAAGCCATCTCGAAAAACATGAGTGCGAAGTCGATGGCAAGGAGATCAAAGTCGCCACGGTCAGTTTGACTCGGACTGATGTTCTTGTTCTGAATGCGA